TTGCGACTTATTTTTATATACAAGACTAGCCACGTTTTACTGTGGCTGATACATAGGTAGTACAACTAATATATGGTAGGTAGTTAAAGAGATATCGCATTTTTGGTGAAGCAACTTGTGTTAGTTTACAAAAAAGTTGATAAAAAAACATTTCATGCGTTAAGAAGCATTGGTTTTTGGGGGTTTTTGTCGAGTCGAGTCAACAGTCAGCCTAGTGGACTGCATATTATGAAACGGTTCTCTTGCGTCGCAAGACACAAAATCGGCTGGCAAGGTTATGGCATGAGTCTTTTGGGATGCCCGTGGTACACTATTCATCGAAGGATTACTGAGCTGAGCCAGTTTTAATTCATTGCACTGTGCATTTAGTTGCAGTTCTATTTCACTATTCCTAATATTTAGCAAAGTTTATTATTAATTATTAATAAAGATCAGTTTGAAGTATATATACTTTATCGTTACCATTTAAATATTGCACTGCTCAACACTTCAATTATGCCGCTATACTTTTATTTTAGATATGGCGTTTGGTTTGTTATGAATGCATTTGCGTCCTTCGCCCATAATCTAACAAAGTATCAACAAAGCCTTGACGACGCTTGTTATGCATTCTTGTTCTCTCCAATAGTTAGCAGGTATGAAAAAAATGTAATGGCTACCTATAGATGTACTGAATCACCCAATTTAAGAACGAACAACCCTGTCCACATTATTATGAAAACTTGCTATTGGTCTACAGACCGCCTTTTAAGTATTGAATATTGGATACTGCGATGGTAGTCTATCGGATCCAATGTAAAACATTCCAAAATTACCATTTAATTACAAATGAAAATTAGTTTGAAAATCTAAGCCATTCTCGAATCTCCTTGAACACACAAAAAAAATTTCATCAAAATCGGTCCAGCCGTTTAGGAGCAGTTCAGTTACAAACACACGGTCAGAAGATTTATATATACATATACAGATTTGCGAAATGCCGCCGGGTTGGTAGGTTCGAGCTGATGTAGCGCATGTTTTGAGTTCTTGAACTGTTTAAGTCCTGTGGAAAAGTGGAAAATAAAAAACGGAGAAAGATCTTTTTTTACGAATGCACTTCTGGGGAAAAAGAAGAAAAATCCTTTTTTATACATGTATTTCTGAGAAAAATAAGAATTCATATATTTGGACTGCTATATAAAAATTGTGGCATAAATTTTGTATACCAATTAATTTAAAATATTTAATACGAGCAATGATATTTTGATTTTGAAAATGTACTTAATTTTTATAACATAACACAACCGTCTTAATACTCGCCTAAATTTAATATCACCGAAATGAAAATTCCGTCGCCATATGTGTAAATGGGATATGTTGGCTCTTCGAAATTTTCATGGAAATGAAAACTGCGCTGTCAAACTGCTGAAGTGGCAGCTTATTGCTTTCAATTTATGGCATACTAATTAATATTCCATATATTAAGCAATAGGGAGTCTCCACAGGTAATAGGCACGGCAATACAGTTAGTATAACATAAAATTTATCCTGTCGAGATGCTCCGTAAAGTAGGCTTTAAATTGTGGTTGTATAGATCTAGGAAAATTGTTTGTTTCATTCATGATTTGTGTGGGAACTTTTCTAATTTGTAGGATTAGGTTTTCCTTTGGTTTTATGCAGAATTTTTGTATTACAATTATTCCTATAATAATGGCCGATAAAAAAATTATAGCGATACGGTTCGAGGAGAAATCTGTATTTAGATGAGTGGTGTTCCGGGATTCAATATAGTTTTCTCCTTCTTGATGAATTCTTCATTAATAATGGTTATGTTCTCATTCCAATAGTGTACGAGATATGTTGCTTTCAGATGACGGGTTATATTATTTTGTATTAGACTGCCGTTAAAGTTAAGTAGGATTAAGCTGTTGTCAATCTCTTCGATTTCCGGGATATGGTCTGCATTACTGAAGTTACACAGCGATTCTTTCCCTTCAACTAATTTAGAAATACATTTTGATTCTCTTAAGTTAATGGTTGTATCTTTTTTAAAATTGTTTATATTATTGGATATATTTTTATATATTTATTATTTATATGTTAAATGTACCAAAAAATACATTTAACATAGAATTTTCAGAAAAAACCGATATCAGCGTACTCTAACATTTTTCGACTGTTAGAGTTGTTATCTTATTTTTTTTAAACATTTTATGGACTTATTGTAATTATATTTCATTTAGAAGTAAAGTATTTATTACATTTTGTTCTGCCCATTGAGTTGCATATTTAACGTTTATTATTTCTTCTTTTATTGGTCTAACATGATTTTGGAAACTCATTGCTATTTCATTATTAAACAAATTGTCTTTCCTGATTGTATTTTTTCAACAAATTTGTAGTTAAATCGTTAATTCTGTTCTGTAGTTGTTTATTTATATTGATCTCATTGTTCTTGTTTGTATTAAAGCTATTGAGATTATTTTGTATCATTAAAAGATCATCATGATCTGAATTTCCTGCAACATATTTTCAGACAGATTTATTGATCTAGTTCGGCGGTCTTGGAAAGTGAGTGTATTTAATACAGTGAGTGATTGTACTATTTCTTGAATTAGAGTATGAAAGAGATATCTTTTTCTAAGACCTTTAATGATATGTTCACGGATTTTTAGAAGTTCGATTTCTATTTGCTGAAGATCTATTAAGATAATTAATTTTAGGAATGACGTTTGTTCAATATTCCTTTACAAATTATAATGGTATGTGCGTCCGTATACTTCGTAATGTCGAGATTACCCTGCAAAAATTCCATAACCGATTCTCAAACACATTCAAGCATTTTTACCAATACATAAAAACGCATTTTGAAAATTTGTAGTAATGATTGGCAAAAAGAAACAACATCAAACTTTCACATTATGCTTTATTCATTCGCGCATATTGTGTGCATAGGAATGGAGCAATGTTTCATTTTACCGAAAAAGTAGGCAAAGACCAAAACGAAGAAAATGGTGTTGCCCAATCGACAAAATCAATTAATTTGCAAAGCTTTTTTAAAAATTCGGGCAAATTAGAAGAAGAGAAAGCAATTCCACCTGTTGTGGCATTTATTTTCATGTCAGTGGCAGCACGACATACATATGTATGCATCACAATTAATTGCATATTTACAAGTGAACGCGAAAGCCGCAAAAAGACACGCGAGTGAATTAACGAGAACAAAATAATTACATCAGGTGAGTAAAGTGATATTATTTATACAAAAAATGAAGAGGAAAACATTTTATAATGAAATGTGCAAAGTTAAAAAGGAGTGTGAAAGAAGTTCAGTGCGATACGAAAGTTTATCGGAATTTGCGCGTGCTGATGGGGAAGATGGCGAAGCTGCCGCCGCTGCACTACATTCTACTCCTGAAGATTCTTTTTCAATTAAAAATAATGTGTCTCAAGCCGTATCGAGCGATTTTCTCAGTGTTTTAAGAAAAATAGGAGTGCATGATTTGCCCTTGTCTGCAAAAACTGTGCTTGAATCAACAAAAATTAAATCAGTTACAAAGAATATCTCCGGCGGAAAATTTACGTATATTGGCATTCAAAAGCATTTTGAATCAAATTCATTTCCATTTTTGAATGAAAAAAGTGAAGTGTTAATAGATGTTGGAATCGACGGCTTAAGGCTATTTAAAAGTTCGAACAGAGCCCTATGGCCCATTCTTGGTTCAATTGTTGGCTTTCCGAAAACCACTCCTTTCACCATTGCCTGCTTCTCACGAAAACAGAAACCAAATTGCACAAATGAATTTATGAAAGAATTTTGTGACAAGGTAGTGTACTTGAGAAAAAACGGGTTAAAAGTCGGTTTAATAAATCTAATTTTGAAAAGTTTTAATATTCGTTTGTTTACGTGTGATTCGCCAGCGAGAGCTTTTGTGACTGGGGTTCAAAATCACAATTCAAAGCACGGCTGCCCAAAATGTTGTCAAGTAGGCACATTTAATCAAAGAAGGGTATGCTTCTCTAAAAATTTAAGTGAATTAAGAACAGATTTTTCATTCAAAAATAGAAATGATCGGGCACACCATATTATAAAATTTCGGGTACAAGAAAACGTGCTAGAAGTAGCAGCTTTTGGAATGGTTTCTCAATTCCCTTTAGATCCCATGCACCTCGTCGATTTAGGTGTAGTTAAAAAGCTGCTACACCTTATAGTAAGTAAAGTAAACGTTAACGTAATGAATCAAAAGATCAATTTTTTTTCTTCTTGGGTTCCTTCTGAATTCGGAAGAGTTTGCAGAAATCTCAATGATTTAAAAAGTTGGAAATCTACTGAATATCGACAATTTKTATTATACTCTGGTATATTTATTTTAAAAAATTGTGTTGATGAAGATTTGTACTAYCATTTTCTTTTACTACATGCCAGTATACGTATTCTCTCTTGCGAAAGGTCTTACAAAAGAGAAGCAAATATTGTACAACAATTATTAGAGGAGTTTGTTAGTTTGTTTGGCAATATTTATGGGGAACATTTGATAAGTTTTAACCTGCATGGCCTACTTYATTKGTCTGAAAGTGCTACAGAATTTGGTCCCTTAGACACATTTTCTGCTTACAAATTTGAAAATTACATGCAGCGCTTAAAAAAACTTATTAAATCCCCAACGAATATTTTGCAACAGCAATATTTAAGAATTGAAGAAAGAAACAATTTAGTAGAAGAAAACAATTCAATGTTTGACACGTTTGCTATAAATCCTAAAAAAGAGAAAGATTCGTTTTGCTTCAGTCAAGAGACGGGACCTCTCAAAGTAATCAGTAATTACTTTAGTGAACCCCTTGAATCATTTTCTGCTCTTGGCATTTTACTAGCAAGTGGGTTAAGTGAAGAAAAAAAGAAAAATTAAATACAAATGCTTTTGCGTACCTCATGAAAATCGTTTTCTTTTAATTCCAATTTTACACCACCTCTTTTATGACTTTGCACACTAGTTTATTCTGCTGTTTAGCAAATCTGTTCAACTTAGAATTTCACTAATTTATATATATTTTTCTTTTTAAAATAATGCATCGTTGGAGCAATACGATGSAGTCGAATGATATTTTTAATGTGACGCCACCATCAACTTCCACTCCTAAGGGCTTAAAAAGGAAAAWARTGMAACTATCACATAATTTTTACGCTAGCTCTTCAAGTCAAGGTAAGAATTTCGAAATAAATATAGAAATAACTTTCTTCAGACTTTATGAAATGTTTTACAGTACTCACTCCGCACAGCCAAAACATGTTTTGCTCTGAAGAAACTGCAACTGCTTCCGAGGTCTTAGATGTAAACAAAGGTAATGTTAACCACTTTACGTAAAACATTAAAGTCAATAGTTTTTTTTTACCACTTTTACTAACTATTCTTAGTATATAGAAGTATGAACTTGCTACAAATAATTTTATTCTTACAGATATAATGGCCAAGTAAGATTTAATTTGGAAAATCAATTGAACTTGGAAAGTCGGCTGGACAAATTGGAAGAAAACGTAAGTGATCATTATATTTAGGTCACTTCCTTAAAGAAGTATACATTTTATATATTTTTTAATGCAAATTTTCCTACACCTCTGTGTGCAAAAATAGCAGCTAAATTCAAAATTGAATTACACAGATGTATATCAATTATTACTATCTACATACATATTTCAGATAATTAATAAAACTGATGTCATGGCCCACCACAAAATTGTGCGAGAGACGAAAGTCCTAGTAAAAAAGGTGCAGCAGACAGTATGCCGCATCTCTGGAGAACGTTGCGAAGACTTTCGCACCGAACTGGCAGTTCTTATGCCAATGCAGACCTTGGATGCGGTCTTTGATTTGGAGGAGAAGATATTAGAAAAAAATTATGAAGATGCAGTTGTGAGTATTGTTTTTGTTTTTTTTTTTTCTTTGAGTACACATGTTTATGAATTAACAAAATCACAAATATCTTTACAGATAACACATCTTTTCACTTTAAAGGGGACTTCTGGGGATATTGGCGAAGTTATGAAGCGAGTTTTTGGCGACGAAGTGCTCAGTTTGTTCAATTGGCATGGGAGGTGCAGGAAGAAATCGCTTTCAAAATTAAAAATAGTTAGCGTTGTTTTTTTGGTAATACTATTGTTACTTTATTTACCAAGTTTTCTATTATTATGTTTTATTTGTTTCAGAAATTTTCAAACTGCATCTACGCATCGACTTCGAAAAGGAAGTCCGAAAGAGCGTTGAGCAAAGCCACAACAGGCAAAAGCACAAATGCTATTTGCTGAACAAAAAAAACTTAAAATAAAATTGTAAATTTTTCTTAAAACACTAGCATAAAAGAAAACATACAAAAAATGAATTTTTATTTCTAAATATATTTTGCGGCATTCCATTATGGCAAGTAAAAAACCTTAGTATTTCACTATGCATTTAACTACTAGAAGTTTTACTCTCATTTCACCAAACATTTTCTCAAAAAATGACCGTCAGTAAACTAGTAAATCTGCTGAAAAGCTACTAGTTAATTTACTGGTAAAACACTGGGCACATATAACGTGAATGAGCGGTGCAGCTATACATTTTGTTATGCTACTAAGCTTTGAGTAAGAACGGTATATACAAACACACAATTAGGTACGTAATGGAAAGAAACGGTCAAAAGAGTGTGACTGAAAGATTTATGGAAAGTCCCCGTCACGGCTCCAGGTCGTTTTACTAGTCATTTTACCAGTATGCTTCTCGCAGGGTTGTCTTTGCCATTGGCAACCATACATAAGAGTAAGATTCTAGTGGGCGTTTTTTTATTACGGAATGTTTTGAGGAATTGTACTCATAGACAGCTCTGTCTACTAATTCGTCAAATGCCCGATGTACCTGTTTTGTTTTTAAGCATCCCATAATTTCTAATAGGGTGGAATAGAATCTTTCAACATGTCCGTTTACAGTGGCGGGGCTTTAAAAACGTTTATAATTAGTAATAGTTGTAGAGACTTTTCGTTATCTACTATAACGCTCCATAATAAAATAAAATGTCATGCAAATCTATTGATTTGACTGAATTATTCTTGCTTGTGTAAGTTTTGAAAATTTGTCTAGTGCTGTTAAGACTCCTTTTTTCAGTTGAGAATATATCTATATGAAGCCTATGCCCAAGAAACTTAGGTATTGGGTTTCTGCAATTGCTGGATGCCTATCATATTTTTCTTCCTTGCATACATGGCATTGTTTTACCACTATAGCTATTCTTTGTCTCATTTTCAGAAAATAATATTTCTTTGATAGTTGCAGTTTGTTTTCCTGAGCGTTCCTCTGAGTCCTGTTGTGAATCTGTAAAATTGGCTCATCCAGGTCTGTTTCTTTTATTATGTCTTCTACCTTCATTTGGGTAAATCTGATTTTTAAGAACTTCAAATATTCTGGATACAGTCTTTGAATCTGTCCCATTAAGTCTTCTGTCGTGTAGATTCCATTTATTATTTAAGGAATTAAGTACCTTCTCAATATTTTATTTTAGAATACGTTGGTTGAAAAACAGCATCTTTATGGAATGTAGGGAATGGAATGGTAAACTTGTAGTCAGAAGCATGTCCTTTGTAAATAAAAATTTAGTTTTTAAAAGCGTTTATCGGTAGCTCAACGCTGGGAATAAGATTACGAGAAGAGCTTTCAGCACTGTGTTGCGCTTCTGTTATTGAATTAACTTCATTTTTTTTTTTGGTACTCGAAACATGTATGGGCTACAACATTTTCTTTTCCTGGTTCATAGAGTAATTCCTTATTGTACTCATCCAAGTACGACCTCCATCTTTTAATCGCTATTCCACCTTTCCAATTACAATCACGTGCAAGTTGTTCGTGATCTGTATAAATTTTTACTTTAGAACCACCATAAAGATAACCATTAAAAGTCTTTACTGCCCAACAGTTCTCGATATAAACGCAATTGGTCTGTCAGATTGAGAGAGTACTACTCCTATTGCATGATCAGAAGCATCTGTTGTTACTGTAAATTATTTATTGGAATCAGGGTATTGTAGTATTACTTCATCAGATATTAACGCATTTTTTAGCTGTTGAAATGCTTTCTTTGCATCATTATCTAGATGTAATATTTTTCTAGATGAAGCCCTCTTTAATATGCGTCCGTCTTCTCCCCTAAGTAGTGTCGTGAGTGGTTTAGGTATTGCAGCATAGCCCTTTATAAACCTTCCATAATATYCTGATAGTCCAAGGAATGATCTCAGTTCTTTAAGGGTTTCTAGACATGGATAGCTGACTATGACTTCTACCTTTGAGGGATGTGTTTCTATGCTTTTGTCTGCAATAACAAATTGTAAAAATTCTACTTTTATTGTGAAAAGCTCGCATTTGTCTAGTTGGCATTTATATAAGTTGCAATTAGAGCTTGAATACAAGGTCAAAATTTTTTAATGAGTTTCTTCATCTTGGTTAAAGACTATAATATCGTCAATGTAAATATAACAAATATTACCTACGTAATTCCTGAGTATATCATGAAGGGTGCGTTGGAATATTGAGGGGGCATTTTTCAACCCAAAGAGGAGTCTACTTAATTCGTACTTTTCGTTATTCACGGAGAACGCTGTTTTTTCTATGTCACCATCCTTCATGAGGATGATGGAACCCACTCTTGAGTTCTAACACAGAAAATATTTCATTGTTGCCTAACTGTGCAGGTACTCCGTTAATGCCTGGCATAGGGTATTTGTCCGCTATTGTAACACATATTCTGTAGTCAATGACCATTCTGTATTTTTTTGTATTTGACATATCTAATTTTTTTCCACACAGGTGAATTGTACGGTTATTGGGAAGGTCTTATTTTGTTGTTATCTAAAAGTTCTTTAATTTGTTTGCTACGTCTTTCAAAACCAGGGGTACTGATAGAATTTTGAGTATATTCTGGTGTGTCTGTACTTGTGCGTATTTCGACTTTAACGTTAGTGGTGTAGATCAGTTTGTCATCGGGTTTTGCAAATTTTTTGGTACGAGTATTAGCAAACGGTTTAATTCTCGTTGACAGCTTGTAAGATGATCTAATCTGGGTATAATTTCATTTCCTTTGTCGTTTGGCTATTTCGGTAGGGGCATGTGTGGTTTCACCTACATGAAATTGTGGTCAGTTCATGTAATAAATCTGCTTAGTTTGGATACTTCTGTCAATGTCCATCGGTTCTTGTCGTGGTTGTAGTTTGGCAACCATAGGACGAAATGGTTCGTATATTGGTCGTTAGACGTTATGGTTATGTGCGATTTGGTTACCTACATTAGTAAAATATGGCCTATGTTGTGGTTGTTCAAAAAATTATTTGATTTTCTGGGATTCATAGTTAAGTTTTGCAGTGTGCTAATTCTGGGAGGAAGGAGTGTTCTAGCTTGAAAATGTGAATGGTGAGGAGTCGGAACCTGGCGTGGTACGAACATTGGTCTATTGGGTTGATTTCTAGATTGTTGTCCTCTATTTGACGCATGATTGGTACGGTATGCTTGATTCTCTAACTTCAAACATAAATGCAATGCAGTTGGTAAATCAGCATTCTCCTTCATGCCGAGAAGACGTAAAAAGTCTCCAGGTAATCCGCGAATAAAGGTATCATTCTGACTCCCTGCCTAATTCCATACAGCCTATCTTATTAAGGATCAAAGATGAATGATTATAGACGGCCTGATGGAATTCTTTAACAGACTGGTTAGACTTTGTGCTATGGTGGTCATTTGGTACTCTAATGTACTCAAGTCTCTTTTGTCTGCATAGTGTAGCGTAAGGCATTTGGAGATGACACTCCAATTTAAAGAAACGTTGTGCGACTTTAACGCAGTGTCTGCGTTATCAGTTATTTTATTGCGAATAGTATGCAAAATATCAAAGTACTTTCCCGTATCAGCTGTGTGTTCGTATGTTCTTAAACTTCTGTTTACACTTTTTTCTATGAACCAAACTCGGCTATATCGGGCACTTTGTCTAAATCTCTTAAATTACATTGGTCCTCTTTTTCAATTCCTTAACACACTACATTAGTAAAATCAAATGTTTGAGTTTGAGTCTGTTGCAACAAAACTGGTAATTATTCTCATAAAACTTGCCGAATGGCATTTGTTAAATCGCCAGGTTGGGTCATATTTCTATTAAATATTTTAATATGTCACTTGTCTCTGTCTCTGTCTGTCTTTTCCGTTGGGGACTTTCTTCAAGATTAAGTATTGGAGGTCTAATCAAATTGTTTGGATTGGCCATTTTGTTAACTTAATTGTAGTATTGTAACTTCCTCAAGTTCATTACTCATTCGCCTTTATCAATCAATCAATAATTTCGATCATTATTTTTATTTATTATTATTACTTTTTTTTTGAAAACCAATAGCTGGTTTTACCCTCTTGTCCTGGAGTGTCCTTTGGATAGGAATCGCAGAATTCTAGAATTGGGTTAATCTATACTGCTTTTGCGTACAAAATTTTATGAAATTAAGTTTTTTGCACGGGTAACTCCGATTTGCCCCGTTTGCTTCCTATTAAGGATCCTGCAGTTTACACAAATGTAGAGGGTGTCCTGCGGGCTTAACTGACAAGACTTGCAATCTACCGATTTGTCCAACGAACTGTAAGTTTTTCTAGCCAGTTAAGTTTTATTTTATTGAGTTAAGAAATGTAACTGAACATAGTATCTTAAAAGTACCCTATGTTAGTTGTGATTCAACGGCAGTGGCGTCGGCATTCTTAACGACACAGTTTAGTGGATGTTGTCAGTGGAATTTACAATATATTGAAGTGGATGATTGTTTATTTTCAATGATCAGAAATAATGGCGATCGAGTCTAGGAGTTGCAGCGGATGTTTGTTTTAAAAAATGTCTGTATGTTATTCAACTTTAACAATGTTGCAATTAATTTTGCGACATTGTTGCAAGGAATGTTGTTATGTTAAAATAAAGATTTGTTCTGTTAACTTATATAAGACATGTATGCATTTATATGCAATACGAGTGCACTTAACAAATAAAATATACAATAATATAAACATATTTACTTATGATTGGCAATTGATTACAAAATCACATATGCACTTGAAAACAACATAAACCTACAGCATAAACAATATGAT